TAAGTCAACAGTACACAGCAGTGCCAATGCCAATGACAATGAAACGGTGTCAAGAGATCTTCGTAACGCAACAATAGCAACAAGACAGCGTTGACGACAGGTTTCTAACCTGGCCAACATCACCATCATCATCAACAACACCAAACAACATCAAGCAGCCACCAACACCACCACCACCAACAACAACAACCGAACACCGCAGACAGGCACAACGCAGGTATAACGTTTCAACGGGCAACCGGCACCTCTCCCTCGACAACTCACAAATCCGCCCGCAACCCAACACCTGAGTAGTCGGTGCAACGCTATTCAGCTTCAGCACCGAACCTGGCTCGCGATGAACGCCCCGTCGCACAGACAACGAAACTTCCGCCAGAACGAGTGAAACCACGCCACCAAAAAGAGTGAATTCGTGCCACCGAAACACAAAAAAAGAGTGAAACCGTGCCACCAAAAAGAGTGGACCCGTACCACGAAAAAAGAGTGAAACCGTACAGTACTTTCACAGCGGGAATAACCAGTCGAACAACACCTTGACTACCGCAAAAGTGCTGTGCGCAAGACGATGGTCTCGCTTCGAATTGAAATCGCCCCAGATACATCAGTATCGTGCGGGGGGACATGCCGATTACCCAACGTTCATGACAACGATTTCAACGCCAATAGGCAGGAAGGCACGCGCTCACCGTCACGGGGCGGGTCTGTCCCAGTCGGTAGACCCTTCCGATCGCCTGCTTCTCCAGAGCCAGGTTGAGCAACTAAAGAACCGCGAACAACACGGATTTCCCGCGGTCGTAGGGAACGCACCAGCAGCAGCAGCAGCAGCAGCAGCAGCAAGGAGGATAAGGTTGAGCATAAAGGGAACAGCAGGTGTGACTCGGAACATCAACGGACACAAGCGCAGCGCCCGCTCGGCGATGTTCGGATTCTATTTCTGGCTCTTCAGATAGAAAACCAAGAAACGACTTCAGCCACCAAAACGCAGCAATAGAAAATCAAATGAAACATCGAAACGAAGACGCGGTGGCACGGAAATCCCCAGGCAAGGTGTTCAACAAGATTGGGCGGGAAGAGCAAAGTACCGGTTCGAGCAGGAAGACGTTGTTGGCCTGCGTGAGGTTGATCCCCACAGCTCCTGATCGCACCGACAGGAGGAAGACCGTCGTCGGGGGGTCCTTCGCGAACGCCTGTTAACGCGGTAGAAACCCGTCGCGAAGGAAGAGAGGGAAGCGACACCACCGGATTGAGGTGGGTAGGATAACGACCATGTGAGCTTGCTCGTCGGGTGGACACCGAGTCACGGGCGTGTATGTATGTATTGGGTAGTTATCATGACGTTTGTGGTTAAAGTACTGTATTTTCGCTTTCACTGCCGCAACACCGTCTGCCACCGAAAATGACGTTTGGCCACCGAAAATGACGTTTATCGCCGACCCTGCTGTCACTACGCTTCAACTGATACATCGTCTGCCACCCAAGATAAGTTTATGGCTTAATGTCTGTTCGCTTTCACAAAGACAAGTTCTGCATGCCACTACTCCCGCTTCTGCTGGTGCCTGCTCCTCCTCTGCTGGTGCACGCGCAACCGCTGCCACAACCTCTCGACGCTACCACCCATCACCGCAAAACCTCTACAACACCACTCGACGTATTCTGCGGAACGTACCGTGAGCGCCGCGGTCCTCTGCGTCCGGGACATGTTTCCCGTGAGCGTGCGGAACTGGAAGCCCCTCTTGGGCAGGGTGCGCTTGAGCCACTCCAGGGAAGAGTTGAACTGTGAAAAGACCAGGCTCTTTGATGTGGGGTCCTGCCAATCGGATGAAGGGGGGGGGTGGGGGTACGCAAGTGCTGCATTACTTAGCTCTAAAACCATTGACCGCGCGTCCTCTCGACGAGGGGGGGGGTGTACTCACGAAAACACATGCCGCGGCCGGTAGACCATTGACCTCGCATCACTACAAGCCCAGATGAGCAATATGCCGGGTTTCCCTGGCTACGTTTCGCAAGGATTAACCAGAGGCTGGCCATCATCATTACGTTAAGGAGGAGAAGGAAGAGCGGGCTGAAATACTGCTCTTGTCGCACGCGAAAAAGAGCAGCGCCCGAAGAGGGAAGACTACACAGATCGCGCCCGCTGGACAGCTCGGGTGAGCCTTACGCCTTGGCGACGCCATATCTTTCGCGGGAAGCTCAACACACTCCCGGAAGCGAGCGCTCGAGGAGTCGCACCCACCCCCGCCAACGACACAGGAGCCATCCGTGCGGGCGCCGTGCGTAACCTAGCGGGTTTGCGTGGGTCCAACCGACAGCTCAAAGAGCAACGAGTAGGATCACACACACACACAGTGTTTTTGTGTTTTCAACCGCACTAAGACTGACCTCTTTTCATTGGTCAGCCGGTTAGCGCGGTCGATGCTAACAATAAAAAAGAAACACCCACACCTTTACATGAGCTAACGAACGCTCACGCCCTCGTCTCAACAGCCCTCCATTACCTTGGCGTGGATGCCGGCAAGCATCTCCACCAGAGCTTTAAGCTTGGTCTCCATCACCACTCCGGTGCCCGGCGAAGCTGAAGAAGAAGACCCTCCAGAGCTACTCGACCCGCCGCCTCCTGCCGAACCACCGCCGCCTCCTTGTTCCTGGGGCTCGGGCTTGGTCGCCCCAGAACTAGACCCCGTTGGAGCCGCTGCTGCTGCTGCTGCTGCTGCGGCGGCGGCGGCGGCGGCGGCGGCGGCACCACCGCCGACGTGGGTAAGGTCGTCCAGCCGAACGGTCTTCTTGCACTTGGGGCAGGGGCCCTGGTCGTCCTCCTTCTTGGTCAACACCGACGAGATGCACGCCTGACATCACACACAATTGTAGGAAGAAATTGCGGCGACGGGAGGGGGGAGGGGGGGGGGGGGGGGGTACTCATAGTAGTGCATGCCGTAGTCGTTAGAACATTGACCTCGCATCCCTTCAAAGCCGGGACGGAGCACGCCAGGTTCTCACCGGACCAGGCTCTCACATAACCAAGCGCGAAGCGCCGTGAGGTACTCGGCGAGTCGCATCTTGTGCTTACTTCCTTGCGTACGGATGACAGCTGCGTATGACTTAATTTATTTTCAGGTGCTTTCACTTGCAGAGACAGTTATAAGAACTGTGTAACTGCCTCGATGGGTGCTTGATCATTTTAACACAACGTGGTACGATCATCCCCCTTGCACGGAGTGAGGGTTCTCGACCCCGCACAACATGATATACTCGACCACCATTATGGTTACCGCAAAAAAAAACAGAGGTAAAAAAAAGAAACGGTAACCTGGTTGCCGAGTTCACGAAGTGAATTGGCTTGTTTTACAACGTCGTTGCCAAGCGACGAAAACCCAATCCCGATGGCAAACACCGAGGGGGGGGCTTGTTTTACAACGTCGTTGCCAAGCGACGAAAACCTAACCCCGATGACAAACACCGGGGGGGGCGCTGGGGGGGGGGGGGGGGGGTAACCCAAAGGGGTCATTCCCTAATCCTTTTAACCTTTACCCCCCATCCCCACAAAACCCGGAACGAACACCCCCGGGTTTCCCCCGAACCGGGTCTCCCATCACCAAACCCCAAACCCCCTGGAGTATTTTGGCAATCCCCAAAAAGGGGAACCGCCTCCCTCTTAAGGGGTTCCGCATCTTTTGCTTTATTTCTTTCCTACCGGGTAAAACTACCTATTAATTAATTTTTTTTTTGGGGCTTTTCCTTCCCAAAAAAATTTTAAACACTTTTTAAATTCCCCCAAGAAACTTTACCCTTTTTAAACAAACTGGGGCCAACATCCCCCCTTTCCCCGAATGAAGGTTTTCCACCCCCCCCAAAATTATCTACTCCAACCCCCTTTTTGTTTCCCCCCAAAAAAAAAACCAAGTAAAAAAAAAAAACCCGGAACCCTGTTTTCCAATTTCCCAAATGAAATTGGTTTTTTTAAAAACTCCTTTCCCAACCAACAAAACCCCATCCCCAAGGGAAAAACCCAGGGGGGGGGCCCTTGGGGGGGGGGGAAAAAAAAAAA